TCCTCTGGCAGAGCTGGTGCTGCCCCGGGCACGGTGAAGGCGAGCCCTCGGGCGGCAACTTCCACGGCCACCGAAACCGGCCCGGGCCATACGTGTCCCCAAACAGGGGGTATCTAAGACTGTGACGTGAGCTGTGTACAAACCTTTCATTTACAAAGTACAAAAAACCCCACAGAATTCATTTGGGTGTGGAATAAAAAATAAAAACCACCTTCACCTGGAGACTTTTCAAGCAGAAACCCCTGTCAGGGAAGCGAGCCTTCAGAGGCGGCGTGCTTTTTACTGGGGATTTACAAGCCGAGCTCAAACCTTTGGAGGGAGCTTCCTGGAGAGGGTCCTTTGTAGGGAGGACCACGTTATGAGGGAGAGGAGAAATTGGATGCCTTATACTAGCCAGATCGTTTTTTTCAGCGGTGTAGTTCATGCTATCTGTTACCTGCGCCGATCTTCCTTAACTTTGAGGGTTGTAAGGCACTGGAACAGGTTGCCCAGAGAGGTTGTTGAGGCCCCATCCCTGGAGGTGTTCAAGGCCAGGCTGGACGTGGCCTTGGGCAACCTGGTCTGGTGGCAGGTGTCCCTGACTATGGCAGGGGGGTTGGAACTCGATGATCTTCAAGGTCCTTTCCTACCTAAACCATTCTATGATTCTATGATTGTGCCACGTTCCTGGGACTTTGCACGTAGGAAAAGGTGTGGGAGCAGCAGGCCAGAGGTGCCCGCAAAGGAGCACAGTGTGTGCAAGGGCAGAGGTCTCTGAAGGCGAGTGCCTGAGGTGGGTACTGCTGCGGGCACGTCTGCACAGGTATAGCATCTCTCCCAAGGAGGTTTGGGGACAAGAGAGAAATGACAACTTCTGCTTCTCCGATGTGAAGTGCGTTTGAGTTGATTTGTTGGGTCTGAGGGTGACATTGTAGGAATTGAGTCGGTGAAATGGTTTGTATTTAAGCAGGGTTTAGATTTAAAACTCCTATCTCCTAAAGGTGGGTAACTGACACATTCGTTTCATGTATTTATGCATCAACTACAGACGTACAAAATAGGTTATTTATTTTTTTTCTTAGAACATGTTTCATTAGGTTTTACTCCTGTGACATTTAAGCACTCATCTCATCTGACAGATTTTTTTTGCATTCAGGTGTGTTGCAAAAATGGGGCAAAATATTTTCTATTTTCATTTCCATACCAAGAATTATTTTCAAATAATTAAACCGTAATAGTAACAGACTGTTCATCAGTGCTACTTCAGGGTTTCCTTTATTCAATTTCAATAAAGCCAAAAGGTCTTATTTTCATCACTTGTGAAGAGTGCCAATTAAAGATGTGTTCATATGGTATGTTTAATAGCTCTCTTGTCTTTTAAGGTACTTCTTGTTTATCTCTGTTTTTCAAAATGGTGATTTAATAACAGAATGAGTAAAGCATTTTAAATGGCAATGCTAATCCGTGCAGAGATGATGTAAACATGCTTATGGTGGATACTTTTTTAATTATTTCAGTCTTCTACCCAGGTCTGTGTACAAAGGCTGTTCGTATTCCTCTTCAGAAAAAAAATCAACAAACCACTCCGTACACCCCTGGTGTTTCCATAGTGCTACTGGAGCACCACTTCGAAAAATCTGATTTTGACAATCTCAGTAAAAGTTTCTCCGTGTAGCCTGATGCGCCCTAAGTCTTGACATGTCAGTCATGCATAATAAGCGATGATATCATAAAGACTACTTACTGGAAATCATTAGTGCTGGCTAGTTTGGTTTTGTTGCATAAGTTCAGAAGGAACGATAGGCATCAGGATTTAAATTAATTATTTTGAAGTCTGTTTTGAAGCGTCTGAGGCAAGGAAGGGAAAGAAAGCTGTATTTAAGTTTTGGATGACTGAAAAATCACGGGAGGAACACATACTAAGATGTTTGGTTTTGATTGCTCCCACAGTATCTGGAATGATGCCAAAACCCCAAAATGCAAGAATTACTTCAGTTAATCTTCGTAGCATGTTACAGTGGGATGCACCTAGGTTTCACCAAGGCAATATAAGTTACACTGTCCAATCTAAGAGGTAAGTCTGGGGGAGTTGGGCTTTCTTTAATTCACATGTTACAGCTGCATGTGTTTGTGATTTGTTTCCTTTTTTACAGGAAAATCAGTAGGTCTCCTTTTCTTTTAGCTCGTGAGAGGCTTATCCTCTGACCTAATAATAGGGCAGAGGCATTTTCTACACATCTAACACCCAAGGCAGCTTTGTACGTACTTTTTAGGGAACCAGAAACATATTTTAACATTGGCTGTTATGAGCTCTGTGTATGTTTTTTCTCTTATCATGTAGCTGTTACCTGTAATTCGAGAGACTTAGTCCTGCATAGCTTTAGGACCACATCTGATCTTTCAATCCGGCAGCATTTTGTGCTCTGCCACCAGTGCGGCCAGCTTGCCTGCACCCTTAGTGGAAATGCCTGATGAACTGCAGGCAGGTGGCTCTTCCCTTCAGTGCCTTAAACATCGGACACGCTTTCTGAGGTCTCCTTTTGTCAGTTTTGGTGGGTTGACGTAGCTTTGGTTTGGTTTTGCCACTGTCCTTCCAAGTTGGTCTCTCCTGTTGGGAAAAATGGTCTGTGGGACTGCACCGAGGAAGGCGGCCGCTTCCCCAGCCCAGCGGTGGGCTCCCTGCCTGCCTCCGTGCCCGGCGAGGACAGGG